TGATATTACTTGCCACGTAGAACTTAATTGTAATCTAGATATTTACCAGGAATCTGTATTCCAATTAACATTACACATCTGAAATAAACTGCCCTTTATCTATAGAATGAATTGGTTAATTGTCAGCAAAGCACATGAAGCAGTTTTCTTTGGACGAAACACAATTTGGAAGTTAAACTATAGAAATATTTTTCAGTGGCATTGCTGCAAGTATTATTGAGAGTGAATGTCAACAACAGAGTTTTCATGTTCAAAGCCTAGGAGAGCCTCCTTAAGTACACAGTCTCTATGGAGTCCACAGCAATCCTACAATTGCTTTCGAGAAGCCACGTGCAAAGTTCGGCATAAATCTTTCTTTCTTCCTTCCTTCCCTTTTTTTTTTTTTTTTTAACTTTTCAATGTTTATTTATTTTTGAGAGAGAGAAAGAGTGAGAGTTGGAGAGGGTCAGAGAGAAGGAGACACAGAATCTGAAGCAGGCTCCAGGCTCTGAGCTGTCAGCACAGAGCCCGACGCTCAAACCCACGAACCAAGAGATCATGACCTGAGCTGAAGTCTGGCGCTTAACCGACTGAGCCACCCAGGCGCCCCTCTTCCTTCCTTTTATTTTTGTTTGCATTGCACCTTACCTTGGTTAGAATGTGACCTGATATTTTATTAAGTGCACCTGATTTCCTATGACCAAAGCAAGAAGTTTTAGTTGATACAAACTTGTTCAACATTAATTTTATAATCTACAAGATGGAGTGCCTTGGCTTGATTAACTTCTCATTTTAAAAGTTGGAATCAAGGGTTAACCCAACTTCCACACCTAAAACCCTGTGGCCCCCACATGCCCCATTTCATCGATGAGGAAGTAGAGGCACAGAGAGAAGTAGGTTACTGACTAAGCTGGCATCCAAACCCACATCTCCAGTTTTCTGGCTCCATCTACTTTTCAAATACACCTATAGATAAAATACATCCTGAGAATCCTGAGGATAAAGAAACTATCTTTCTCAGCAGCATTTTTAAACCTTTATGACATGGTATAGAGTAAAAAATGCACTTTTTGTTGATCCAGAACATATATTCACATGCATGAAAGAAGTTTCACCAAACAAACTTATTCTGCACAAAACGCTGATATTTTTCATTCATTCTAGCCAGATCTATTTCATTTTATTAATGCTGTACATGTGCCACTAAACTGATCTGCTGGGTCAGCAACCCAGAGAAACCACAGGGATAAACTTTACTTTTTTAAAAAAGCTCCTTTTGAAATGAACATGCAGAGAATATGTGTACCCAGCACATGCAAGAGGCACATCCGAGAGCACCTTGTCTCTACACGTGCTTTATAAGCCTGGGAGGCAGGGAGAGAGAGAGCAAAGAAGGAAACATAAATACATTTTTTTAGATTTCAAAGGACAAGATGTTTTTTTTTTCTTTTACGTTTTTATATGTGGATAAAAATCTTCCAATTTCTCTCCAGTGAGAAATTTTGAAACTGATAACTAGGACAAAGGCTGTATACAGAAAAGCCGATCTGGAATTTCATATACTGTGTTGGTAGTCGACATTTAAAATTCATTAACAAGGCAACACATAGACACTTCTCCATTTCTTCTAAATGTTATTTCCAATCACAGCAGGCATAGAAAACAGTTCGTCTTCAGCTAGATTGTGAATTTTTATGTAATGAGATGCTGTGGAAAACAAAAATAATATGCATGCACAGATAAATATTTGAGGGGTGCCTGAGTATTTTGATAAATAATATCTGCTCCACACATGTTCTTCCTTCCTTGATGGTCTGTAAACCCCTGCAGAAAGTCTTCCACTCAATCTGTCTTCATGTTCCATTGACTCCTCATCCTTACTGGGCTTGTCTCACTCCATAGTGCTATCCTGACACTTTTTATTCTTATGCCATCAGTCCTACTGCTTTTGTTCCAGCCAACACTATGGTCTCCTCTTATTTAGTTTTCCTCCTCCGGCCATAGGCCTCCTTCTACAAGGTGGTTATATGCGGGAAGCTTGTTTCTCTTTTGGTCCCCATACTGAACTGCTGCTAATGTGGGGGACCCAGGAGGTGCCAGTGATGGTGAGTGGAGGATGGCCACCAACGGGATTCTGAGGATGGAAGAGGAATTGCCTCTGGCACCTTGGAAGCCAGACTGGCAAGAGAAAGAAGTATCTGTTCCCTGGTGATAGTCTTTGAGCAGCTGAGTGAGACTTCCATTGGAATTTTCAATACATTCCAATCATTTCTAATAAGTTTTCTTTTTAATTATTTATCCAGTTTGAGCTGGGGTTTTCTTTTGCAACTTAAAGACTTTTTTTTTTAAGTTTATTTATTTTGAGCGAGAGAGAGAAAGAGAGAGCAAGCAAGTAGGGAAGCAGCAGAGAGAGAGAGGGAGAGAGAATCCCAAGCAGGCCCCATGCTGTCAGCACAGAGCCTGATGTGGGGCTTGCTCCCATGAACTGCCAGGTCATGACCTGAGCTGAAATCAGGAGTCAGATGCTTAACTGACTGAGCTGCCCAGGCTCCCCTTGCAGCTTAAAGACTTCTAAACTGACAGTCATATCAACTTCTTTCTCGCCTATCAATCCACAAAGCCACTTTCATCCAAGCCCCACAATCCAATCTCTCTTTACAACATAAACTTTTCCACATAAAGTGAAATTAAAACCTGACTTCCTGCAAATATGATTGAAATTTTTTAATAATATTAAATATAAAAATAACAATGATAATACCAACAATAGTGGCTAATATTTAATGAGTGCCTATTAAATAGCAGTGATCTGTTAAGTCAGTGGTGCTCAAATTTTGCTACAAATCTGCTTTTCAAAAGCCCTGATATCCACACTACAACACCAGTTAGAATCTTGTAGCACCAGAATCTTTGGGATTAGGAAACAGACATTACCATTTTTTAAAGCTTTTGAGGTGATTCCACAGGCAGTCAAATTTGAGAACTCCTCTGCTAAAGATTTCCTAAGGAATTATTTAATTTAGCCATTATAGTAATGATACAAAGTGCCCATTCATTATTATCTTAGTTACTATTATTGTTGTTGTTATCATTATCACCATGTAGCCAATGAGGAAGCCTGAGTCTCAGGAAGGTCACACAACAGAACCCAGGTTTTAAAATATTAAAGTAGACTGAAGTTCTTGAACACCAGCAAGGAACAGAGTGGAAAAATGCCAAGGACACAGATAATCCACAGAGAAAGCAATCTTTAGTGGGGGGGGGGGGG